CTGTCTGTGTTTCTTTACAGGGCAGGAGAAACTCAATGGTGAGTAAATCAGTCAGACTCTCTGTGCTGTGTCCTGTAGTGATTTCAGCAGGAGCTCCTCTGTAAATGATCCTGCACCAGTGTTCTAACTGAGTTGTATGTTATTATAATACAAAGTCCACGTTGTATATTTACACTTTTCTTATAATTGACAGTTTATTTATGGATGGAGCTATTAACTTCCAATTTGAACTTGAAAACTTAAACCAATTTGAGTGTCATCAGACACCAGAGCTCTGATGGTCTGAATCATGTCTTATTATTTCCAGCCATTCCTGTAATCCTCACAGAACTGGGTAAGTGATCTTCTGTGTCTGTGAGATCACAGATCCACCAATACAAACACTAATGAATTATATTTGAGTGCACTGTTGTTCTGCAGTTTACTGTACTCTACTGTAATGAATGATATTGCACTGAAATACTGTATATCCTTCTTTTATTTTCTTCAGTAATATACAGGTATTTGATCAGTTGTGAAATGTTAAGATTTACAAAAGCAATAGAAGATACAGAGAAATAGAGAAATTATTGTACAACAATGTGAATAGGGAGATCTAACTCAGTTTTGACTCCCTCTCAGTTTTGTGGTTTAATGAAACCTTTAGTTTTAGACTGCTGACATGGGTGAAAGAAACTAACTGGCAGCACAAACTATAAAGTAAGAAATGCTGCTTGTATGAATATCAGTCTTCTTTGCTCTCTTCTAATGTTTCAAAGACACATTATCTTCACTCTTGTCTGAAAAGTCTCCCTTCAGACTGACAACAGGCCATCAGCCCCCTGTCCTGAGTGAACAGTCTGTATCCTGACACTGTGGGGGTCCTGCCTGTGTCCTGCTGTTACACACAGTGTCTGTAGAGCTGGAACAACACAGCTGGTTGTTACAGTACCAGCATCCTGCCACCAGAGGGCACCCAAGCCGATTGCATGTACCTCATGTGCTCTGGGGAGGCGTAGGTTAATTAGACCTCGTTAACCCATCACCAGGCCTCCCCTCCAGCCTACTTAAACCCTGCTCTGTATCCAGAGTGCTCAGTAGAGGGTTAGACCTTGAGAGTTATGTGGTTCTTTCCTTGTGATATCTTGCCAAGACTCCCTTTAGGTTTTTGGATTTTTGGCTTGCTTTTTCCACCTTGATTTCTAGATTTTGTCTTGGATTGTTCTTTGTTTAAATTTCCCTTTTGGGTTTTTGACTTTTTGTTAGACCTTGACCTTGGATTTTGCTGTTTACACGTGATCATACCTGCATAGGGTCCACTTCTTTGAAAGTAGATGCTCAGCAGTGTGACACTGCTCTGACTGCTTGTGTTCAGCCAGCTGGGCCCCTGTCTGTGTCAGACTGATACTGTCTGTGTGTCAGTCTTCCTGGATCAGGCCTGGTGTGGAGATGTGCTCACCATGGAGTGTGACTGGTCATCCCTTACTGTCCAGCTGATGTCCGGAGATCAGGCAGTGTGACCAGTGAGAAGGACATCTCTGTTTCTCTGTCAGTGATACTGGTCGCTGTGTGTACAGGTCACTCAGTCAGTGATACTGGTCACTGTGGGTACATGACTCTTAGTCTGTGTGAGATCAGCCCACACTTTCACTCATCTGACTGAACAATGAACAGAATTCAGTATCAATGGATGGTTATTTAAATATGAAATATCCCACAGTGCTAGAGACAGCAGACTGTGTTTCTTTCTTACCTCTCTCAATGGCTTAAGCACCAGACTCCTGGGTGTCCTGAGATGTGTCTGTGTGTCTTATTGCCTTGTGCTGCTCAGTCTTATTGCGTGAGACTCCAGTCTTACAGCCACTGCTGCTCACACTCACTGACACTCTGATCCACACTGCAGTGGAGACTGGGGATCCTGAAATGGACTGACTGCAGACTGTAGGATAAACTCTGGTATAATAACAGGTAAGAAGCAAAAAAGGTCTTTAATACAATAAAGATCTACTCTCTCTCTCTGCAGATGCTGTGAAGCGAGCTCCTATCCCTAAATCACGTATGTACACTGTATGAAACTCTGCTGACTGACGGCACTGATTTTACTGACATTATATATATATACCGGTGGGTGACTGGGATTAACAGAGTCTGTGTCTCTGTGGTCCAGTGTGACTGTGATTAACAGTGTCTGTATCTCTGTGTTCCAGTGTGTGTCTGTGATTCACAGTGTCTGTATCTCTGTGTTTCAGAATGGCAGTGGCTGTGCAGTGCTGAAGGTAGGTCTGTTTCCTGTTGAAGATACAGACACAGTACTGCTATTGAGCACTAATATTAATGAGTATTGATTCCTGGTGAGAAATGCACTAATAAAAGAGTAAGGAGAATGAGAATCAGTGTAAACTGAGATTCACTGCAGGTTCACATCATATTCCTGTGGAAAACCTCATCTCCTTTCACAGTGATTGTGTTGTCATTCAGCCAGTGGAGTCATGTCTGTGCTGGACTGACTGAGCTATAAAATCACAAAACCTTTTTACTATGAAAAGCTCCCAGTCTGTAGGAGACTACATGTCATGAGTCCTACACAGTGGAGCATTTTAATTAACAGAGATTACAATATTTACACAACTGATGATAAGAAAACTTTCACTGCTGACCTCGTGATCCTACATAATAACATTAAGAATAATATCATGTGTCTCCATCACTGTACTGGGGCTTGCAGGGTGAGCGCCCCCTACTGGCCCCACTAACACCTCTTCCAGCAGCAGCCTCAGCTCTCCCAGGAGTCTCCCCTCCAGGTACTGGCCAGGCTCACACTGCTGGGTCTCAGTGGGCTGCTGGCTGTGACCTGTTTTCACACTGGTGCTGGATCTCCTTCAGAGATATTGGACATAAAGCCAGCGATCAGCACAGCCTGATTAACCACACACTGTCACACTATAAACTATATCTTTACATGACCTTTGTCCTGTTCACCTGTCCGGGGTATAACCCCAGTATTGTCTGTGCTGGACACAGTGTCCCCCAGGACACTACAGCTCAGTACTGACCCTCTCTTTCTTCTGTACAGGTGAAGGCAGCCCCATCCCTGACCTGCGTAAGTCCACTGTGTGTAAAGTCACAGCTCCTGCTGGGCTCCAGCTCTCTCCCTGTCAGTGTGTGTGGAGGATAGAGGGGTATTTAAAGGTGATGTGGTGTTAACGGGGGATGTGTGTCTGTGATTAACAGTGTCTGTATCTCTGTGTTTCAGAATGGCAGTGGCTGTGCAGTGCTGCAGGTAGGACTGTGTCTTCTTGATGATAGAGATGCTGTTTTAAGCCCTAGTGTCTGGGGTTATTGAGTTCTTGAGACCAGAATGTCTCTTTGGTGTGAGATGGTCATTCCTGGTGTGTAAACAGAAGGAGATGTATTTCAATCCCATGTTTCTGTAACATCCTCTAAGTAATCTCAGTGGAGATCAATCAAAGTTTCATGGTGGGAGTTTCTGTCTCTATCCTGTATGTGGCATTACGCGGAGCCCTGGTCCAGTGTGGAGGCGGAGCCCTGGTCCAGTGTGGAGGCGGAGCTCTGGTTGAAGGGCGGAGCCTGGTCTCTGTAGTCCAGCTGTCCTGGCTCCTCCAGTCCCAGAGGGGATTGCTCGTGCCCGATAAGGCGTTTTTCTTTTTTCCTGTCCCATCACATATCTTCACCAGGGCAGACAGACACACACACACATACACACGCACGCGCATCTTTTTTTCATACACAAATATTTGGTTTGGTTTGGCCTTACGCGCCTCCAGACTGGACCCCGCTAAATAGCCTGGTGGTCATGAGACACAGCGGTAAACTTTCTTTTTGACTTTTTGTTTATTTTTTATTTCTAATTGGTCTCTGCTAACCGTCCCCTCACCAGGGCATTGACTTTTTACCAGTGCCTCCACTGTCACATGTGTTTCAGTCTAATGGCCAGTATGAGTCTCTCCTGGAGGGACTGACAGTGTAGAAAACTCATTTTCCCTGAAGGCCATGTGCTCTGGTCTCTGCTCACTCCTGACTGAGGGTCTACAGGCTGAATGTGGCAGAGCCAGTGACCCTGGATTTGGGAATAACTGTTGAATATCAGGAGGAATCGGGAGCAGAGCCAGTCTCATAATAACAAGCCATTCAAATCCTGAGGAGAAACACTGTTAAAGGTTGGAATAATCAGAGTACTCTTCCCCTGCAGCTTCACAGACACACAGCCTCTTGTGAGCGGCAGCAGTGGGACTCTGGTACAGGGGCTCCTCTGGGGCCTGTAGGCCTCTCTCTTGTCTGAGAAATGGCTGCTTCTCTTCACATGTCAACCAGGCTGATGGGTCAGCAAGAAGAAACATTATAAAATCACCTTTTCTTCTTCTGTTTTCCTCTTTCCTCTGACTGTGTTAATAGGATGTTCATACAAACACAGAACAGGCAGGATATGCTTCTATACAGAGTACGTTCAGACTGGGGGAATAATAATAAGTTTATTATGCAGATAAACTTTATTACTAAACAGCTCATGTTGTTGCTTTTTGTGTTAATAAACTGTGATTCAGTCAGGATTTACCTGTTTCCAATTTTGGGGAGCTGAACCTCATTAATCCCCAGCTCTCAAAGGTCATTTCCACCTGGCGTGTTTGTGTCCTGAACATCTTGCAATATCTTGGACAGGATAGAGAGCACAGGTCTGGCTCATGGTCTGAATTATGATTTTATACATCAGTACATAAACTAGGAAGAAATATCCCCCCCAAAAAAAAACAACAAACATTTCATTTCTTCAAAAGTCATTATTTCAGGAAGTAGCACATGTAGTTAGCTATTTTTCCAGGCCATGTCCAATATATCTACTACTTAATTAGCAGTAGTATTGAGCTACAATGATTGAGAGACTATTCTCTCTTTTACAGCCTTTCTATTCTCCAGGAGTAAAAAATAAGAACTGAGAACAATCTCTTTGAACTTCACTAATCTGACAGGCAGACAAAAGAAAGATAGTATTTATTCAGTATTAAGAGTTTATACTTAAGTATTAAATAAGTGAAAATATCAGTCGGCTTTCCACTGTTTTCCAGTCTCATCACTGAACTTAAGACGCTCTGAGGCCAGAAATGAATTCAGGTGTTTTTATAAATTCATGTAGGTGACTGTGTCAGTCTTTCTAGGCTCCAGGAGTCAAAAAATAAGAGCTGATAAGAGTCTCTTTGATCTTCACTAGATTGACAGGCAGACAAGCAAAGGGGAGTATTTACTCAGTATTAGGTATTAAGAGTTTACGCTGAAGTATCAAGTATGAGGAGAGTATTAAGTCGGTATTCATTAGTCATGCGAATAAAGCTTCTTGAATTGAATCGATTAAAACCCCCATTCGCTCTGGACATGGATAAGCCCCGCCCCCGTCTGTCAGTGGTCAGAGCTCACTGATTGACAGCTGGAGTCTCCTATCAGAGAGACGGACAGTGAGCGCGAGTAGACTGAAGTCAGTATGAGCGCCTCTGTTTCTCTCGTCTTTCTCTCCGGGTTTCTGGATGTGTTATTTCTGCTTTAAATTGAACACTTTGGATATTTCTTCGCATTTTAAAAGTAAGTGTAAAGTCCTTTATTTCAGCAAGGT